ATACTGAACTTATAAGGACATAACATGATAAAATAAACATGAATTGCACAGGAGTTTCCTGGTAAAACATGAACTTACTCGGTCATGACCTCAAATGACTTAAACCGAGCATAACTTGATAATTACACGAATTTCTGGACATGAACTGTACAAACTGACTTGAACATGATCTAACTAACATGAAAGGATACTGAACATGAGGTTACCTTCTCAATTGCTCGGAGAATTTCCCATGAACGGGCATAATTTCTTGTCTCTGGGCCTATGCGCGTGCGTGTGTGATTAGGGCTAATGTTAGGCTTATTACTTGCTGAGTATATGCTGAATGTATGGCGTGAATAATCAGCCATATTTTTAGCCTAAAATGCTGACTTATAGCACGGTAAATAGAGGAGGATTGGCTTGCAAAACCTCGGCCAACGGCCTCCCTCCACTTGCCGCGCGCTAAGGGGCGTTGGGTGGCCTTTTGGTGCTTACTCACCAACTCAAGGGCTTAGTCATGGCCCCAAGAGCTATCAACTCCCCAAGTGTCCCTACATGATAATAATGCACGTGAACTTTGAAGAGCCTTAACCTTTCGGCCCTTAAGCTCGGCTTAGGCACGCTAAGTGCGGGCTACGGGCGCACTAATGCACGATTGGCGTGTGCTAAGCACCATTATGCTAATGCCACAATTATGACATGCTTATGACTTCCGCGCGCTAAGGGGCGTTGGGTGGCCTTTTGGTGCTTACTCACCAACTCAAGGGCTTAGTCATGGCCCCAAGAGCTATCAACTCCCCAAGTGTCCCTACATGATAATAATGCACGTGAACTTTGAAGAGCCTTAACCTTTCGGCCCTTAAGCTCGGCTTAGGCACGCTAAGTGCGGGCTAAGGGCGTACTAATGCACGATTGGCGTGTGCTAAGCACCATTATGCTAATGCCACAATTATGACATGCTTATGACTTACTAAAGCTTGTTTAAGGCTAATCTAAACATGATTACCTTAAACATGATTATTCCTTAACCAATCCTCATTAATGTTAATTAATCTTAATTTACATTAAGCTAATCATGATTATCTTTAAGCTAATTATGATTAATTAGCTAAACATGGATTAAGTTAATTAAGCAAGGTTTAATAACGATTACTTAATTAATGATGGATGGTGTACCAATGTGAACGCGTCACTGTAGAGGAATGACGACGTCCATATATGGCAACCTTAACCTCAGAACTTAATTCGGACATCCTTGACTTAGACGATTAATCCGAATATTAATATTTCGAATAATTCGTCAACTAGGCTTATTAATTCCGAACTCATTAACTAATTAAATGAATCAGAATTAAATCTGAAAGCTTATTCGATTATCAAACTGAATAACACATCGACTAATAGTCGAACTTGAAACCTAGCTGGCTGAATTACTTAAACTTGAACATAAACATGATTATTTATTAATAAAGGCTAGCTTAAAATTAAAAGGTAGTATTTTCCTTTATTAATAAAACTCGGGGTATAACAGGTCGTGGTCGACAGATTGACTAACGTTGCTCATTTCTTGCCAGTATCGATGAATATGTCTTTGGACAAGTTGGCTGAGATTTATACCCGTGGGATCTTTCGACTCCACGGAGTGCCTGTTACTGTTGTGTCAGACAGAGACCCCAGATTCACTAGTAGATTCTGGCAGAGTTTGCACAAGGCAATGGGCAGGAAGCTAGTATTCAGTACAGACTACCATCCAGAGACTGATGGACAGTCAGAGCGAACCATTCAGACGTTAGAGGATA